ACTGCAGGGTGAGCCCCTTGCAGTGGGAATTGGGAGCCAGGAGGGCGGAGCTGGGGCTTCTCACAGCTGGAGCTGTCACCGTGTTGGACGTGAAGCGCCAGCCGGATCAGGGTCTGGGAGCCCAGCTCTGCTGCACTGGGCTGATGGCAGCGATGGCGACTGCACTGGCTGAGGGGTCCCCTGGGCTCTGCCTAGTCCTTCACCACCACCCGGCAGCTCTGGACCCACACGAGGGTCAGGCCATGGCACCCCCTGGGTGTGTGCAAAGGACCATGGTGGGCCCAGGAGGAAAAGGCTCAGTGCCCAGGGGCTGGCCAGGCTCCAGGACTCACACTGAGACCTGGGGACAAGGGCAGCGGGCCACCTGGACGCACCGGCTTTGCTGAGTGGGTGTCCTCACAGGGATTCCAAGTCGTCTGCATCAGCTGTGGTCACTGGAGGGGTGAAACCTGGACTCCCTGGGGGTCTAGAGTTAGTGATGTGGCGAGGGCAGAAGTCCCGAGTAAAGGAAGATCTGAACTGGGCAGCCCTGGGAGGGCACCTTCAGGCCTGTCTCAGCCTCCAGCTGAGCAGTGAGGGGCTGGGGACCTGGGAGACAGGTCAGGGGTCACCAGGGAGGAGGGTGGACTTGAAATGCTGGAGAAGCCCCCAGGCATCAGGCCCAGACCTGGGGGACACATGCTGGCTTCCTGGGTCCTCAGCCCAAGTCTTAGATTGGCTGTGGGCTGCTCAGGCCTGGAGCAGCCCCCTCCCCAGGTAAAGCCTGGGCTGGGGCCCCACAGGGACAAGACTTGGCCTAGTCCTCAGGGGCCAGCAGCCTGCTCTCAGGGTGGTGTGGGTAGAGGAGCAGGGGTGTCTCAGCATGTTCAGGACAGCATGAGAAACACAGCCTACCGCTGAGCGACTGGTGAAACGTGTTTCTCACAGCTCTGGAGGGTGGGAGTCCAAGGTCAAGGTGCAGCGATTCAGGGAGGACCTGGCTCAGAGTTGCCTTCCCACTTCCTCATGTGGGAAGGGGTGGGGGGCTTCAGGCCGTGTTTGTTTGAATAAGGGCATCGGTCCATTCCCCAGGCCCCATCTCCTGGCGCCATCCCAGTGTGGCTTAGGGTCTCAGCTTATGAACTCTGGGGACACTCAGGCCATACCAAGGTGCCAGGCAAGCAAGACGGACTGAGACCCCTGTGAGGTGAACCGGGGCATGTAGGGGCTACCCCTGCGGGGCTGGGGGAAAGCAGGAGTGGGCTGCAGGGGTCCCCCTGGATTTAGGTACATGCACACTCCTTGCTTGATGTCACCAACTCTGAGATGTCCTCAATGAACAGATGGGGAAGGAGGCCCCAGGTCGGGAGGACCGTGGGAGAAGAGGTGCCTGCTGCCACCCCTGGGCTTCCAGAACTCCTGAGCCTGGCCCATCCCAGCTGGGGATACAAATATTTGTTGAGCCAGTGAGTGGACAGATGGACAGACTGACCGATGGATGGGATGGCTGGGCAGGGAGCAACCTGGAAAATCAGGAAGGAAGTGAAGGTGGAGCAGGGAAACCTGCAGATCCCAAGCTGAGGACCAGACCTGAGGCCGCGTGGAGGCCAGAGCCCCAGCTGTTTGCCAAGGGACCCGAGCTTGGTGGGAGGCTGCACCTCCGTGAAGATGGGAGGCCACCGAGGGCCGGGCAGGTGGCAGGGCACTGGTTCAGGCAGCTGTGGCGCACCCGGGTGAGAAAGGCAGGTGCCCAGGGAGGGGGCCTGGGAGAGGGCAGTGCTGGTCAGAGCAGCCGGCAGCCGGAGGCTATTTCCCTCTGGGTTCGAGCCTTCAGCCTCCTCAGGCCGCCGTGATGGGGGTTCACCAAGAGGCCACTCTGGGCGACCGTCAGGGCCTCCCCGTAGCGCTGCTCCTCCAGGCAGCTCTGGCCCAGACGCAGGAACATGCTGGCCGTGGGGGCCTGGCCTGGCTGCGCCCACAGGCGGCTCTGGGCCAGGGCCGGTGACAGCTCGAGGGCCTGGGCGAAGGCCCCTGTGGCGCCCTCCTCGTCGCCCAGGCTCAGCAGCAGGCGGCCCCGGGAGCTGAAGTCCTCGGCTCGCCTGGCCAGGTCCCCGACCCCGGCTCCCTCCCGGATCACGTGGTCCAGGTCCTGGAGCGCCCGGTCAACTTCCCGCAGCTCAGCCAGGCAGGCAGCCCGTAGACGCAGGTGGCGGGTACTGCCACCACCAGCCAGGACAGCCAACGAGCAGTAGCCCAGCGCCCGCCTGGGGTGCCCTGTGTCCAGGAGGGTGCTGGCTTCCTGGGCTGCTGCCTGCAGAGGACACACAGGGACGTAGGGCGTACAGGGTCAGCCCAGCCGAGGCTGCTGGCCTTGGGCGGGGGCCAGCGCCTAGGTAAAGGGCCCTCCCTGCGACTCCCTATCCTGGAATCGGCACGGCCCAGCTCAGGCTGCCAGTGTCTGCAAGTGTCCTCCTCAGCTGCCACTCTCGCTGGGACACGGCATCTCCTGTCCTCCCTCGGGAGCCTTACAGCCCCACCTCCTGGCAGGCCTCTGGTGATCTTCAGAACCACCTCTGCGGGCCTCCAGGGGCTGCTGCTTGGCCCCACCACCTGCTGGGGGCTGCCAGGACCCTAAGGACAGGAGGCGAGTGCCCTCTGCCCAGCCCAGGCCCTGGGTGCAGCTCCTCCCAAGGTCAGGAGGGGAGGGCCAGCTGTGCACAAACTGGTTCCCCCTTGCTGCAGTCCCTGCACCAAAGTCAAGGTTGGGGACCAAACATGCTGCCAACCTGTCCTCCCTTGGCTCTCCCTGTGGCTGGCGCTAGCATGGTGCAGGCCCCTGGATGTCCATGCACTGGGTTTGCTGTGTGCCCTGGGGGCACTTGGGTGGGCCAGAGGCCAGCTAGTGAGCATGTCCACCTCAACCTTCCTTTCTGGACTGCTAGACTGGCGGTCATTGCTGGCTAGGCCTGCCGCCCCCAGGCCGCTTCCTTTCTGAGCTGAAGACCACACTGGGAAGCTGCCCAATGCCTCCTCCTCTCCACTGACCCTGCTTCTTCAGTCAGCTAGGGACAGAAATCACAGGACACTTCCCAGTGAACCTGCTGGCCCTAGTGGCCTTCCGCGGCTCTCCTGGACCTGGGGAGTAAGGTGCGCTGCAGGCCAGCCTTTCGGGAAGTTCTGGGAAGCACACCAGGTGCTGGGGTGTGACGCTGGTCTCTGATTCCAAAGCTCAAAGCCTGTGGTCTTGGCCTCCCCACCTGTGGTGCCCTCCTGACCCTGACCTGGCTGGCCTCTGGGGTGGGCTTCTGGCCTGGAGGAAGCCCCTTGCTGACTCAGCCCGACTCTGGGAGGGTCCTCCTCTTCCCACCCGTCACCTGTACTTTTGTACCCCAGGAAGAGAAGCCCAGGGGCTATGGGGTTGTGTGTGGGCAAGGTGGTGCCAAGGTGGGCAATTGTGCTGCCAAGGTGGGCAGTGGCCCGTCTTCAGGGCAAGACCTGGCACCTCCTACTCACACCTCACCCCATCCAGCTGGAACCAACCCAGCAGTGGGGAGGGACCGTGCCCTGTGGTGGCCCAGGGTCTCAGCCGTGCTGTGTGGAGGGGCCGGTGTGGCTGTCGGGGCATCTGTGCATACCTGGGCCACGCTGTGCCGTTCCGAGGCCTCCAGGAGCTGCAGCAGGAAACGCAGGTCCTGGGCGTCCACCTCGGCCAGACACTGCAGGTCCTGGATGGCAGCTGGGACATCTCCCTTCTTGAGCTGGAGCAGGCCCCTCCGGGCCCTGGCCGCCTCCGGTGGGCACGTGGGGCACAGGGCTTCCTGCAGGGGAACACTGGCCTCCTCATAGCTGCCTGTGGATCCAGGAAGGACAGTTGGGGGCTGTGGCTGAGGACGAGGAACGCACAGGCTGTGAGACATGCCTTCCCTGCTCCGTGCTGGCAGGGGCAGCTGAGGGGCAGACTCGGCCCTGGGGATAGAGCTGGGAGCTGCACACGGGGAGCACGTCCAGGCTGCATGGACCCACCTGCAGACCCGCCCTTGCCCCCACTGCATGACCCCTGGTGGGGCAGCAGGGCTTTGACTGCCCTCCTGGAGGTCACCACAGGGACGGCCTTCTCTCCTGAGGCCCTCTGGCAAGGCTGGGCCAGGGGAGCAGAGCACGTGGTGTGAGCAGCAGGAGGTGGGCAGAAGCCCCTGAAGCCCTTGGAGGGCCAAGGCGGGCGCCAAGAGCACCCTTCAGGTAGGGGTGAGCATCAGGGTGAGGTGGGGTCGGCCCACATGGGCCAGGAAGGGGCTGGCCTCCCCTGGACCACAGTGGATCCCTGCTTCATGCAGCATGAGTGTGTGGGGCAGGAGGGCTCCTTGTGAGAGGCCACAGACGGCCCAGAGGTCAGGTGAGAGGGAGCCCCAACCACAGATGGCCCAGAGGTCAGCTGAGAGGGAGCCCCGCCCACAGAC